TTATCACTATGCGAATAAGACTTCGAGTAAGATTCCGTTCATTCAGGACATACATACACAAAGAAAACTCATCTGTCAGTTGATGATTCGTTATTATGTATACTTTAATATTATAAATGTGAAAGTTTGTTTGTTTGTTAGATTCCGTTTTTTTCTTTGTTTCTTTGTGTGCTTGTTTGTACTTCTTTCACGTCAAAACAAGGCAACGGACTCGGACGATTTTTTTAAAGTGATAGTTTAAAATCAGGACATTGACATAGTAGGTTACTTTTTATCCCAAAAAAAAAATCATTCCCACGGAAAACTACACTGGTAAAATTTTCCTTGACACGTGGGCGAAGACACGGGTAACGGCTAGTTATGTTATAATTTTGATTATAAGTTATAATTTCGATTAGTAGTAATTTTGATTATAATAATTTATAACGCATTTCCTTTTTATATTTTATGAAGTCATCTATACCGGTTTTAGCAAAATCGTCACGTTTCTACCCTTAGATATTTGAGTTCGTGACGATATTTTATCACCGCAGGAGATGATGAGAATTTTATTGGAACCTTATTTCTGGGATTGCGGGTGTGACATGAATGACTATTTGCCCTAAAGCGGATAATGTCACAGTTTGCGAGTACAGAGAACTCAATGTATTAAATCCCTAAATTGTAAAATAAGCAGATATTTCTAAAAAAATATCATAAAAGTTTTCATCCAACATATGCTATTCTTTTTTTTTATTGCGTAGATGGGTGGACGAGCTCACAGTCCACCTGAAGTTGAGTGGTTACTTGAGCCCATAGACATCTACAACGTAAATGCGCCACCCAACTTGAGATAAAATCTAAGGTCTCAAGTATAGTTACAACGGCTGCTTCACCCTTCAAGCCGAAACGCATTACTGCTTCACGGCAGAAATAGGCGGGGTGGTGGTACCTACCCGTGCGGACTCACAAGAGGTCCTACCACCAGTAATTACGCAAATTATAATTTTGCGGGTTCGATTTTTATTACACGATGTTATTCCTTCACCATGGAAGTAAATCGTGAACATTTGTTGAGTACGCATTTCATTAGAAAAATTAGTACCCGCCTGAGATTGGAACACCGGTGCATCGCTCAACACGAATGCACCGGACGTCTTATCCTTTAGGCCACGATGACGATTCATCATCATGGTCCTGGTCATGTGGAATCCTAACTTATTAAAGCCTTGATAGCTGTTTTCCATCGTGCGCGAACTGAGGCTTGATACACGAACTCGTTAAGTGGAGTTTTGGTAAGGATTTTCACTTGATCAGTCCAGCGTATGGGGCTTCGTCCACAAGGTCTTTTTCCGTTGACCCTACTCTGAAAAACAAGTTTCTTGATAGACTCTGCTGGCCGTCGCGATACGTGTCCAAAATATCGGAGAGCCCTGGATTGCACTTTGAGAGATGTTAAGTTCCTTTAGGATCGAGGCGTTGGTGCAATGCTCAGTTCAAGATATACGGAGCATGCTTATCCAGCACACATCTAGGGCATCGATCCTTTTGCTTTCTCTTTATTTGATTATACTTAAACTTGACATTATCCAACCATGGCAATTATTTTAAAGTTCGACTTATAACAATATAGTATAATAGCGTATCAAAAATATCAATATCTATTATTTACTTTACTTAGGCCACACATTGATGTATACCTTCAATATTTCAAATCCGAAATAAAAGTAAACATTAGGTATCTTCAATTGAATTCTAAAAGCGAATTTTCGAGGCGGAAAAAATATCCAATTTACTGTAAGCAAAATTCGCTTCAGAAACAAACAAAAAAAAAAAAAACTTCAGAATACATACTTAGAAAATGAAAGAACATTATTGATTGATAAGATATTTTTAATTCTCATTGGGAACAATGTAGCAGATCAAAGAACTTGAAATATTAATGTTCTTTCGAAATGATACGACGTTTGTGAATGATTTCACCTTAGAAATTTTTCGTAACTCTTAGTTTTATTACCAGGATTGTTAAAATATATTGAATTTACTGGTGGTAGGACCTCTTGTTAGTCCGCACGGGTAGGTACCACCAACTCGCCTATTTCTGCCGTGAAAGAGTAATGCGTTTCGGTTTGAAGGGTAGGACAGCCGTTGTAACTATACTGAGATCTTAGAACTTATATCTCAAGGTGGGTGGCGCATTTACGTTGCAGATGTCTATGGGTTCCAGTAACTACTTAGCACCAGGTGGGCTGTGAGCTCGTCCACCAATTTAAGCAATAATAAAAAAAAGAATGCCATTTTTTAGTGCTAAGGCAAACAAAACTTAACCTAGTCGAATGGGGATAATGTCGGTCAGTGATTTTAATAATGACAGAGGCTTAATTCCTGCATAAAGAAAATGACACACAATCATAAAAGAAACTACTGCAGTCGAGTATTACGTTAAATTTATTAAGCTATAATTAATTGTTCACCTGAGATCTGATCTCAAGAGCAAAAGGTCGAAAGAGTACGTCTCTAAAATAATAAGATTATCTTTCGTTGTATAATAGAAAGCTATTTTGTGATTCTTTCTTCAGACAATGATTGAAATGGAACAAAGATTTACTTTTCATTTAAAAAGAAAACTTAAAATAAACTTGTTCATGAGTAATTTGAATTTCGTTTTCTCGGGGCAGTATTAATAATATTAAATAATAACAAAATTAATTTACATCTACAAACTCAATCTAATTATGGTAACTAGAGATCCCGTAGTAGTTGAAATTCGACTATAATTAATTGTAAGTTTGTACACTATTATGATTGTATTTTATACTTCTATAATCACAAATTTCACCAAGGCTACACTATAAAAAAATATTAATAAAGACAAACAATATTTAATCTATTCTCAATTTGACCACAAACGTCAAGAACAAAAGTTTGACAATAAATAATATTCATGCGTGTGTGCGTCAAATACATGGTATGTAGTGTGTGTAATGTTTTATTTATTGATTTAATGTATCTTTTATGCATTATTTTAAAAAAATATTAGCATTGTGCATATGGGCGCAAACGCCACTATTGGCAATAATTAACATAATAATATATAGTTTAGTTTATTCTATGTTAATATGTATTTAATTATTATTAGCAACAAAACTTATTCTACCATATTTAATAATTAGCAGACACTGTTTTGATGTGAAAATGTTCAGAATATGTTTAATGTTTATATTATTGTTTAAAAACACAAATGACTGTATAAATGATTAAATATGAATAAAGCATAAATATTAATAATAATTTATATTATAATTAATAGTACTAATAATTTAATTAAGTATTGTAATTGTTATGCAATGATGATGTTGGCGCCATCTATTATTAGGCTGGATAATAACAATGTTAGTTAATATTACTTAAAAGTAATTCATGTAAATTAAATTAAATGTCAGTCATGTAAAAATCACTAAAATATGTATTGTGAATATTAAGCTATATTTTGTGAATTGTTTCGCAGTAATTACATTTGTTTGTATAAAAGAAATTGTAGTTGCTATAACTATCACAAAATGGCTAATTGTGTAAGAACCAAGATATGGCTTTATGTTGTAAACAAGTAATGTTAAAGTTTTATAGAATTGTATTGTATTTTCATTGTAAAAGAACTTATGTGGTTTTCAAACCCTGGCTTAACGCCGACATGCACTTCTTCTCTATATTCTCTATAAGTGTGGAAAATTTCATATTCCTGCGTCCGCGCAATTTACGTAAAAAGGGATACAAAGTTTTTGCTTCACNCCAAGATATGGCTTTATGTTGTAAACAAGTAATGTTAAAGTTTTATAGAATTGTATTGTATTTTCATTGTAAAAGAACTTATGTGGTTTTCAAACCCTGGCTTAACGCCGACATGCACTTCTTCTCTATATTCTCTATAAGTGTGGAAAATTTCATATTCCTGCGTCCGCGCAATTTACGTAAAAAGGGATACAAAGTTTTTGCTTCACGTATCGTCATGTATCACGTATATTATCATGGTTCCAAGCCGGTTTCGACCACGGCGACCAAATTTTTCAGTTTAATAACTTAAAAGCTAATGTCCGCGCCTCTCATGCGCTCTAATATGGCTATTGTAGCCTATCTTGTTCTTAAACGTGCGCAAACAGAAGCTACACGTAAGAACACCACCCACGAAGTTGTAAAAAATGGTGGAAAGCGGTCTTCCACGTATTATAATTATGATAATAAGACATGATGCGACTTTTGGCGTCACTTTCAAACAACATTATGCAATTAAAAGATCTCGATTTTTTTTTAAATTTTCGTCTTAACGTAACAATTGAAATATTTTGCTAATGGATTGCCTATTGGGCCGTGAATGTTGTTATATTCTCTCATTTAAGTAGCAAATAATTGTGACCGTTTTTTGTCTTAAGCCGCTTTCAGACTACGCTATAATATAATAAGCTTATAGTATATAGCTCATAGCACATCAATATCGCACACCATACATTGTTATGGACACGTTCGCACTGTACTGTATTATATATTATTGGCTAAGTGTAGGTTGCTATACTATATGGCTCTATAGTATAGCGTAGTCGGAGCTTTATGTCTGTACCGTTTTTATTTGGTGATTGAAACTTCAATCTGGATCGTAGGTACATTACATACTTCTCTTGGTGGACAACTGGGTGTTACTTTGAGGTGTTCCTAGGCAGCGGTAATAGCTTAAATCCGTTGGCTATGTACTCATCGATCCATTTTAGGTAAAAAACAACCGAAATGAAACAAAATGGAGTATCGTACCTATTTATATATGTAATCCCCAATGCACGGAACGTATTCAACAGTATTAATGGTTTATTAAGAAAATGTACCATCGTATCTAATGCAATTATTGGAGGCAGTGTCGTGGCTATAGTGAATTACCCAAGAAATCCAATAACCCCAAATTATAACATTCTTTACCCAGATATTTGTGTAGGAATTTGAGTAAAAGGTTGTTTATTTTATCATTTTTGTTATAGCTGGAGAACGTACAGTTATTGGACAAGTACAATTTGCGTAATCCTTCAAAAGGAACATTGTACTTTGCTACAACCCACCTTATATTCGTCGACCACGAGATGAGGAAGGAGACATGGGTGAGTTGCATCGAATTATTTTGACGCTTTTTTTTTATTGCCCTTGTAAGTAAACGAGCACACGGCCCACTTGATGGTGAATGGTTACCGTTGCCCATGGACTTCAGCAATGCCAGGAGCAGAGCCAAGCCGCTGTCTACCTGCTTCAGTATTATTTACCTTAATTTAGTTCTAAAGTATTTTTACGCCGGTAAGAGTAACGCCATTTATCGCCGAATAGTCGAACGAATATTGAAGGATCTAGTAGTATCTAGAAAGCTCGAGAAGTACAACGCCATCTCTTGTCAGATAGCGGAAACACACAACACTAGACTTTTGTGGAATCTTCTCAACGATTCTAGTGATTTCGTCTCTACTATAAAAGCGTTGTAGAGATGGCACGCAGTTAGTTAGTAATCGGAACTACTCGAAGCGAAACAGGGAACGGATCACCTGAAGCGAAGCGGAAGAAGCGAATTGATAATTTTAAAGTGTTAAGTGTTCTAAGTGCAAAAAAAGTTTTAAGTTGTATTTTGGTGGAACATTTATTTATCCCGAACCCCAGCGTGTAACAGTAGATTCAGTTATATTAATCCGTGTCGCATTAGCCAAAATATTTGTGACATAAGTATTAATTCCAAGTAAACACTTCACGGTTCATGATTTTATGTGAAGATGATATTAGATGGCTAATATATTCATCAAGCCTGCAATGAGTTCACGACGCGTGAAATTTTTGTTGATGTTATTGATCTTCTCCTTGCGTTGATAATCCTCAATGCTGAAGGCCGCGGCCTCCTTTAATTACTTTTTTCTGGATTATCCTGTGTCGGCTCTGCCTATCTTCGGCATTATTGATTATTGATCTAAACATGTCTTTATATTACTCGTAAATGTCACTTTTAATCAATCCAAAGGTTATTGACCTCAGAGCATTTCAAGGTATTCACGTTAAGCATATCAGTGAGTTAGAAAAACAATTCTAGATTCTCCTGATGCACATTTCGACAGTGGAACGTTTACCGATCACGACGGCTGGCTCTCCGCTCCTAGTTCGCACTAAGACATTTCAGTCGGTATTCTTTGTAATACCGCGGGAGAGAGATTGCCACGAGATGCATCAGACATTGCTCAGGCTAAGTCAACCTGGTGAGTACACAGCAAACTATTTTTGTAGTTCCTCGACTTGCAAAGATGTTTTTTTTTATTGCCCTTGTAGGCAGACGAGCATACGGCCCACCTGATGGTGAGTGCTTACTGTCGCCCTATGGACTTCAGTAATGCTAGGAGCCGAGCCGAGCCCCTGCCTACCGTTAAGTACTCTCCACAAGCCTCATTTGAAGAAGGACATGTCATAGCGTTCGGGAAACACCGTGGAGCGAAGCCCATTCCAAAGCCGGGTGGGTAAAAAAGATCTCTGGAAACGCACTGTGAATGTGAACCCAGTGGCTCCAGGTAGTATGGATGAACTCTACTCTGGTGGCGGACGGTACGATGTAGACACTCTTAAGATTATTTTAATTCTTTAAAAACCAGTATTTTTCATCTCCGAAACTTGATAGTTCTATAGTGGACCAAGAAATAGAAATTGCTTCTAAAGATTTCGTATGGAACGTCTATTTCAGTAATTGGTTGCTGTTAATAATATCGATATAAATTTCTCACCATATGCTCTTTATATTGACGTAAATAAGTAGCTTGTCACGATCCCTGCGGATGGATGGCCGTGATTAGCTATCGAGTAACCCATTTAACGCAATCCATTAAGGTTGATGTTTCCGTCAACTGTGCCAATCGACACCCCTTTGTCGACGCTTTGGAATTATGTCACGTAGACCTCGAGGCTTTGTAATATCACTGTAATTGTTAGAGGCTTTACGTAATACGAAATCTACCAATAGAAATGAGAACTGATTACTGAATAGACAGTCGAAAAAAATAATTAATTAATGAGTTCTGTAAGTTCTGATGATGTTGAAATAGGTTTTTTCCTGACAGGCACATTACTTAACTCTTGGGAACTCTTTTAAAATCTCATTTGAAAAAGGATATATCGTACCGATTAGGATCACCGTTCGGTGGAGTTTATTACATAGTTGGATAGTACGGATAAATTGTGCCTTAAAAACGCACCACCATATATAATGGTTCCATGTACATATAAGTCAACGGGATCATCTCAAACAATTCCTTATCTATAATTCAAATCTGTTAATATAAATGAAAATAGTTTTAATAGAGATATAAAACTAATACTTTTTTGCTAACCATACAATATGAAATAATTCTCACTATAGGCTATAGGTACTTTTAACGGACGGTTAGCGTGGTATGGACATGTGATGCGTAGAGAGAAGATGCATGTGACTAGGAGATGTATGGAAATGGTAGTGCAAGGTAGAGGGGGAAGAGGTCGACCGAAGAAGACATGGATGGAGTGTGTGAATGAGGATATGAGAGAGAGAGAGGAGTGAGTGTTGAGATGACGGCTGATAGAAGAGAATGGAAGAGAAAAATTAGTTGTGCCGACCCCACCTAGTGGGATAAGGTGGAGAAAAAGAAGAAGAACAAGAGGTTATAGGTACTTTTTAACGCCATATTGGGGCTTACAATATATCTCAATGCAATACGGCAATCGTATTTATAGTATAGCTGTTCTTCTGTTTAAACTGTACCTATTTACTTCCAATTTTTCAGATGCAATTAATGTAATTATTATTTTTAGTACACATAGATGAATTATATTGCTTCCATTATAAATCAACACCGGACGACCTACCAAAATCGGCCGGTTGGAATTTCTTCGACATACAAACCGAATACCAAAGAATGAACGTTCCTAATGATCAATGGGTTTTGTGCACGGCGAATAAAGATTATGAGGTGAGATTTTAAATTTTTATTTTATATTTATTAATTTATCTACGATTTAGTTTCGGATAAACAAATGGGAGGATTTTCTTTTACTAGATACGAGTATAATCAAAGGCGTTTCGAAATAGTTTACGCTTAATCGATTTACAGCTTATTGGTAGAAGTATGCTGTTATAATAGTCAGATAACGCTGCCGATTATACTCCGGTGAATCCCTTAGTCGCTTTTACGACACCCACGGATGTGGTGCTTGCTATTCAATTATACCCATACAATAGGCTACGAGAGCCCTATTGTCGAAACGTCTAATATGCTAAGATTATTTAAAGGAATCTCATGCCCATTGAGGTTCTCGCCAGATCTTCTTAGGTCGCGATGCCGATCCGGTGGTAGATACTGCGCAGCACTGCTCTGGTTAGGGCTGGTGTTAATTTGCTCAGGTTGAGCCCGTGAGCTCACCCTTCCCATCCAGGCTTAGCTGGAATAGCCCCTTACTACCGGCTTACCTTACTTACCGGCTACCAGCGAATAGGTAGGCGAAAAAAAAGGAATCTTATACCAAAGATGGTTCAGTTAGATATGTATATTTCCGTAATACATAACATTTTTGTTTTGTTTGTTTTAAACTACTTTTTTAATAAATAACTAATCAAAATAATTATAACAATTTTATAAATCGAAATACTAGACATGCGGTATTATGCTTCTAATTGCAATGTCTATTTGTAGTTATGCGACACATATCCAAGTGAAGTGTATGTGCCCGCACGTGCGTCGACGGCGGTGCTCCTCGGCAGCGCAAGCTTCAGGTCCCGAGGTCGGCTACCAGTACTCGCCTACTTACATCATAATAAAGCAGCCATTGCTCGTTGCAGTCAACCGTTAAGCGGTTTTTCTGCCAGGTAAATGTCTTGCCGTCACCGAGAAGTTTTTTAGTGTACACTTACTTCCATGCTATTCGCTGGCTTACGTTTCAGGGATGTCGACACGATATTGCGCAACCACAACTAAAATTGTAAATATTTTTGCTTTTAAAAACACAAAAAAAAACAGCATTTGTTGTTTAATATCAGTATCGAAGCTAAGAGAATTATTAGATATAAATATGGCATTAATTTGCTTAAAGCTAAATTTAAGTGTTTCCTGTCTAATGTGGCAAACACCGAATTATCTTGAAATGAATGTAATAAAAGATTTACATCACTATTTAATTTTGCGAGGGAGTAGATACGATGAACGCCGAAAACGCGCACTGGCTTTTTGCCTGTGAACACATGTATATTACTTATATAAATATATAGTGAGGGGTAGATCTCAGGGGTATTTAAAACTATGGGTTAGTCACCAGTATCGAGTTTCGAATTCTAATCTTTCTTTAACACAAACAATTTTCAATTTTAAACGATAATTACATTCAGACGCGGGCGCACGCTATTCACACTCACAACGGAAGCGCCCGGAACATAGATTATACATTGTTAAAAAGATGGGCATAGATACTAACTATGTATAGCGAGCGGGCATACGGCCGCGAGAGTGACGTACCGGCCGGTTTGCTATAAGTACTTTTATTTACATACAAAAAGTACTTACATACTGCTGTAAGTACTTTTTATACAGCCAATAGCTAATTTTTTACGTTTAGTCGTAAACTAAGACTCATTTCTGCTACTCGTGAAATAAATAAAAACAGTAATTTATGTTCATCCTCGAATAACGTTAAACTAGTCAAACTTTTCCCCACAGAGTGTGTTTAAGCCCTTAAAAGCGTAATACGATCACTAATATAGATTTTTAACTGGAGATTCGAAGATGTACTCCCAGCCCCTCCGGGCTTAACGAGAAACGCGGTTGCGGAGAATATTGAAGAATAGGTTTCTTGAATAGCGCTCAAAAGAGACGATTTGAGTTTATATGGAAAAAAATTATCGAATATGACGTTTCGTATATTATTCTGAAATTATCCGTTTTTATTTTATTTTATAATTCTAGTATAATTTTGGTTATGCCGGCATGTTTATTTTTGAAATAATGATTATGCTCGATGATTTATAACAGTGAGAAAAGGTAAATATCGTAATTTTAAAAGAATCCTAAGTCTTATTGCGACAAAAATAAAGTGCAAAATCAAACAGACATTGTCGCATCGGTTACATAGTGTATGAATATTTACTTTAGTTACGTAATCCAGGGTAGCGTTCAGAGCGTATTGTCCGCACAAGCTTAGTATTCTACTATATGTTTGTGCGGACAATGCGCTCGCTAATAGTATCTCAGTTAAGTTTGCGCGGACAATGCGATCGTCGGAATCCGTTGTGAACGGTTGGCCAACTTGTTTGTACTTTGTTACGTGACGTCACGATCCATACCGTTTCCAAGACACAGTGCTATTCGTTTCAGATGTATGGAAGACGAACAGATGCTAGATTTAATTAGGAGAGCTAATCCAAATTGCGGGTACATGTACGTCGTGGACACGCGACCAAGGGTGAGTTTTTCTTATTAGATGGTACCACTACAGGTAGAGGAGGAGATGATTGTCCTATGTTAAGACGTGAATTCGGCTACCTTAATACATGAGGGCGAAGTCTTAGCTGTGTATAACCTGTGTCCCGTTCATTGAATTGGTAACTTCTTTGCTACTGAAATAGGCAGGAACCTCATGAGGACTTACGACATGGGTCTACAACAAACACTATAGGTCTGTGTGTCTGCGTCGTTGTTTTGTTAGCTTAAGACCAGGCATGAGTTTTCTCTCCTCGATCTTTTTATTAAGGCGCCGGAATATCTAGTAGACTCTGGGAAACACGAAACCGATGCAATAACAAACAAAAGAAGGGAAAGCTAGGCAATTCAGGTGCTTAGTAACAGAAATCGACATAAGTACTTCAATGCGCCGCGTAGGGCATCGGTGACCTACACGGCAGTCAACGTTTTAAGAGTTTTTGTGCCCGCCACCTACATAGACCCAACTCGTAGAACAGACGCCTAACCAATTTGGCCTAAGACGTATTTATTTAGGCTTTGCTTTACGAACATGCTGTGAAGTGCAGTGCGGGGGTCGTGTAATTTGAAGTGATTTTTACTGGTGTTAGGACCTCTTGTGGGTCCGCACGCTTAGGTACCACCACCCCACCTATTTCTGCCGTGAAGCAGTAATGTGTTTCGGTTTGAAAGGTAACGAAGCCGTTGTACTGTTAAAACTGGCGGCATTTACATTGTAGATGTCTATGGGCTCCGGTTACCACTTAACACCAGGTGGACCATGAACTCGTCCACCCATCTAAGCTATAAAAAGATTGGATGGTTTCGCCTTTCCGCCCGGGGTTGGAACTCTAAAGATATTTTATATTCAATATATGATGTCTTTGTTGTTGTCTCACGTCTGGTAGCTCAGTGGCGATAGCGCGGGAGAAAAATAGGTTCCGGAACAAACTTTTTGCGTAAAATCCCACAGATAAATGCAATGGTGAATCGCGCCGCAGGCAAGGGCTACGAGAACGAAGCCTTCTACGAGAACATAAAGTTTCAGTTCAGCGGCATCGGAAACATTCACGTCATGAGGAAAAGCTTGCAGAAATTAGTCGAGAGTGAGTTTAAAATCGTACGAATGCCCGACTTTTTTTTTTCCTACCTAAGCTGATAGCCTTGAGAGGCTATTTCAGCGTAACCTTAACTAGTAGGTGAGCTCACGGGGCTCAAACCTGATGACGTTGCTAACACGAACCCTAGCAAGAGCCGTGCTTCGCAGAATCTAGCACCGGATCGGACACGCGACCCACTGAGAAGATCTGGCGAGAAACTCAGTGGGCTGTGTCTGAGGGACGCCCGACAGTAGATTCGCACTGCGTACATTGTTCGCAGGAGTCTGGGGTGATATACACAGTCGGTATTAAATTAATATCTCTACTAGTGTTTTATATATAAGCAATTATGTTTGTATTTATTTGTTTATACTAGTGATTATATTATAATCGCACGAGTACTTTTAGCGACAGTCACAGCGGAGCGCGATCGTGTTTTACTAGTAACAAAAAATAAAACTTTAAGGGATGTCTGTCTGTAAATTAAATACGAAAAAAAATGCGAAGTGTCGCTTACCCCTAAATCACCCAGGATCTGAAAACACCTATTTTGACGTTTTCGTAAATGCCTTCGCACAAAAACTGTACGTATTGTGTACAGTATATAATTAAGGATGGATCTTAAAAAACTAGTTCATATATGTTACTACAATAGGTAAAATCGAATTTACATTAAATTTATTTATTCCTGGAATAAAATTGCTAGGAAAATATGCTTTATTCCAATGAAATTGCAATTTCTATTCTGTTTCTCGCACATCGGGCACATTCCATTAATAAATTAAAAACCACCCATATGGTGGATAAACAGCTACTGGATTCAATCCCAGAGCCTTGTACTTGGATCAGACATCACCATCTCTCCCGGTTAGATATAGACAGGACGTACTTAACTACTTACCCGTACGGGCTTAAAGAATACTGGTGACAGTGCAATTTCCAACTGATACTCCTAAAATGATATTTGCTTGTGTTGTATACAGCCTGCGAACAGAATACACCCACGATGTCATCGTTTTTAAGCGGCTTAGAATCGTCGGGGTGGCTGAAACATATCAAGTAAGTGGCACACTCACTGACTTTGTTCTTTTTTTTTCTACCTATGCTGATAGCCTTGAGAGGCTATTTCAGCCTCACCCTAACGTGTGTAGGTGAGCTCACGGGGCTCTAACCGGAGTGTTGCTAACACTGATTCTAGCAAGAGCAGTGCTTCGCAGAATCTACCACCGGATCGGAAACGCGACCCACTGAGAAGATCCGGCGAGAAACTCGGTGGGCTTGTGTCTGTGGGTTAATTCGTTCGACGAGCCCTTCGTCGCAAGCGACGGGTTCGACGAGGACGGTGACCGGTGCTTGTGGTGCCTAAAATCACCGTTAATGGATCAGGAGGATCCGTAATGACATGGGCTTTGTTCATAATTGCCGCTAAGGTGTATAATATGGTCAGTTTAATGGAACACGGAAACGACTTCGACATGCGTTGCGTTCCATTTGCCAATTTTCTTTTCAGGTATAAAATAATATTTATGTTTTTATTTAATTTCGTCTTTACTGTTACTGTTCAATCGACATGACGTCACCACCGATTAGAAATGCAGTTTTAGTAATGAGAACAGTCAGCATTAGGTTAAGGCTTGTTCTTTGCCAAAATAATACGCAACGTCATATCGTCTTCTCGCATTAAAACTGTTTAATTAATCTCAGAACTTACTAATTTTACAGGAGAGTGTTTTAAAGGCTTAATATGTGATATTTTAATATTAATCATCTTTGCAACATTTACTTTTTTATTTTTTACTAGTTACATTATCTGTCTATTAAAGTAAGATAAAATTATGTATTAATTTTGTTAATAGAAAACATAGGTAAACTAAAAAAAAAAGACTAAAACTAAACTACGCTCTTTTAACAGTATTTATGAGAAAAATACTGGTGATACCAAATGATTTCGCATATTAACTCAATTTAGAATATTTTAGGAAATTATACACTTTTAATGCGAAAAGACGATATATAGCTCATAATTGTTGTTTTTTAATACGCTTTTATTAGTTCCAGGCGTATGTATGTTAGTATGTAACGGAATCTGTGAACATGATTTTGACCCCCTTCAAAACTTCGGATTAACTCGAAATTTTGTATACTTATTAAAGACCAATGACAATTCAATATTTAAAAAATATTGAAAAAATTGAAATTCAACTAAGAAATGAAAAATAAATAATAGTTTAAAAAAACAAACAAAAAAAACGCTTTTATAGAAAATCCAACTAAAAAATAGAAAATAAATTTTAATAAATTTGAATTATAAATAGTGTAAGAAAAAATGATTTTTGTAGGGCCCCAGTTTGTTATGTAAACAAAATTGTTCGTAGTCATAACATGCGGCTGTGCCCGCAAGCTCCGTTGCTTTTTAGTTTTTACTTTTTAAGTTCAGTCGCGAATAAACGCTCCGATTAACCAGTTGTGTTATTTAATTATCTCACTTCCGACAACGCCCTGAACCATTATTGACCACTACTAAAATAACTCCTAAAGATTTTATTGTAAAAAAAGCGTTGTAGTATTTTTTTAGTGTTTTTTAAACTGTTATTTATTTTTTAACCTTAAATGACGTCACACAATGAAGGACTGCTTACCTGAGTTTTTGTTACATGTGTAGGTACTGCTTTTTTTTTTAAATAATTAGCTATGTGATTCCCTATTAACGTCTTTTTCTAGATCGATACTGGACACGTCGTGGTGGATAGCCTGTGCGATTGAGAGCGGGGTCAGTGTGTGTGTGCACTGCAGTGATGGTTGGGATAGAACCGCCCAGGTCTGTTCCCTGGCCGCCCTCGTCTTGGAACCACACTATCGCACCATTAACGGATATCAGGTGACGAGAAATGCTGTTTTTAATACGCTTTTATTAGCTTCAGACGTCTGTATGTTGACCCCCGTCAAAACGTCGGATTAACTCGAAATTTGGTATACTTATTAAGGACCGATGACATAACATAGGTTTTTTTTTACATTCACGATGCACTGTTCTTTACGCTGTCTACCATCGAATGCTATCTGCGTCACTGAGAGTGGAGTGGAGTGAATTAAATTAATGTTGTGTTTTAATTGTGATATAAATATTACAGGCCCTGATCGAGAAGGACTGGTTGTCGTTCGGGCACAAGTTCACGGCTCGGTGCGGGCACATCGCGTGCGACGGCCGCGAGAGGTCGCCCGTGTTCACGCAGCTGCTCGACTGCACGTGGCAACTGCTGCGACAGCGCCCCGAGGTACGGGAGCGCCGCGCTCGCACCGCTTAAGCCCTCATTCGCACGGGCGTTTTAAAAACGTTGCGTTAAAACTCGGCGTTGGCGCTTTTAGAACGTTCTCGATCTGACTCGTTCTATTAGCGCTCAAAATGCAACACTGCGCGATAAAAAAAAGTCGCGTTTTCAAAGCGCTGACGTATGAACATATACTAGGAAATGCATCTGTTCTATTTGAACGCTTTTTTAACGCGCGCTAAATAAAACTCCCGTGCGAATAAGGTCTAAGGCTTCGTCAAACAGAACGCGTACTTAGCACGCGTCAGAATGCTAAACTGTCGGCGCGCTATGACGCCGAGGTGTGTTGTACTACTTCGGTAATAAACTGTCAAACAGAGCGCCAGGGCTAACAGTACGCATTACGCAACGCTCTGTCGCGGCGTTAGGATGCCTTGACGTCAGGCGTTGTCATTTTTTACAAATTTTATTTTTGCGTCCCAGTAAATGTGTATTAAAATACTGGATGATGCCCGAAAAATTAATAGAATTAGTTATAAAATACCCATGCTTATACAATGCCACATCTGAATCACTCGACATCATAATACTTTTAAAATTTCACACTGCTATCGAAAGGCAAGGCACAATGATTTGGTGAATGTTACGTTGCTTCAAGGAGCGTTTGGCTCATTTAGTCAATTTCTGTGAAATGAAAAGAGCGCGTCATTAAAACGCAACGCTAAGTGCGCGTTCTGTTTGACGAAGCCTTTAAGCCCTCATTCGCATGGGCGTTTTAAAAACGTTGCGTTAAAACTCGGCGTTAGCGCTTTTATAACGTTCTCGATGTGACGTAATCTGTAACGCCCAACGTTTAGCGCTCAAAATGCAACACTGCGCGATAAAAAAGTGTCGCGTTTTAAAAGCGCTGACGTATGAACATATACTAGGAAATGCATCTATTCCACTTGAACGCTTTCTTAACGCGGCTAAAAAAACTCCACCTGGTGGGCACCTTAAGTGGTTGGTTACCTTAGCCCATAGACATTTATAACGTAAATGCCGCCACCTGCGCTGAGACAAGAGTAACAGTTGTAACAGTACGACGGCTGACCCATCCTTCAAATTGACTTTTATTTTGTATCCGTATTATAAAGTTATGGCAACGCATAATTTTTCTATTGTGTTAAATAAATACTAGCTGTACCCGTCCGCTTCGCTAGGCTTTTAAAATTAACACTATTGTTTCTCACCCCCACATAGATTCTCATCATTAAGGCCCCCGCAACTGGTGTAGGGAGTCCAACACTCATATAAATATTAGCCTATCCATTAAGTACATGTATTTTCTACATGGAGTTTCAAGTCAATCGGATGCACGATTCAGTTCTTATAACGGAACATCCGTAAAAACCACTGTAGATTTATATATTTGTATAGACTAGCGACCCGTCCTCGCTTCGCGTCGGAAACATGAAATTTTATTATTGATTATTTACGACATCACATTAGAAACCTCAAAAATAACAGAATTTCTCTACTATTTAATGGATGTTATTATACATATAACGCTTCCTCTTCAATCACTCTATCTATTAAAAAAAAACGCATCAAAATCCGTTGCGTACTTTTAAAGATTTAAGCATACATAGGGACAGATATAGGGACAGAGAAAGCGACTTTGTTTTATACTATGTATAGATATCGGGCATGTACGTACTTACAGGCGTTCCAGTTCAACGAGAGGTTCCTGCTGACGCTGCACGACCACGTCCACGCCTGTCAGTACGGCACCTTCATCGGGAACTGCGAGAAGGACAGGAGGGATCTGAGGTGAAATATTCTGTTGTGACGTCACGACCAGACGGGTTCGCAACGCCATGTTGATGATATATGTGAGAGACTGTGATCAATTACCGTCAGACGGCTGTGTATCTATCTGCCCGTGAAGGCAGTAAGTAAAAAATGGAAATAGATAAAAAAAAAAATTTTTTTTAATTAGATTAATTCGTAAAAATTGAACTCTCCTTCATAATGATTGTGTTCGATGATTAGCTAAGCCACTAAGCGGCGGGTCGCTAGTATAAGTATATATTAAGTCGATCATATCTGCAACCGGTGCGCGCACCTCCAATATTGCCTTGCCTATACCCCTATTTTTTTTTGGTGCTGGTGAATCCATTTACGGATACCCACCCACCCGGTCGAGGGGGGTAATGGACCGGGTTATGTCGGACACTATTATTTACTTTAATATTGCATATCCTGCGATCATTTTACCCCTGCCTGCCCTAAGTGACAGGGAGCTTCTGCCCCGGCAGAGCGGTTCGCCCCGATGCCCGTTTCGCGCCCCCGTAAGCGAATACGACGACCCCGTGCGCTACACTGGTTTTAAGTAAACATAAATTATGTTAGCATTCATGAATTACGTAAACAATTTCCTTTTCAGGCTATCAGAACGCACGTTTTCTCTGTGGGGGTACATGGCGAGTCATCTGAACGAATACAAGAATCCGTTGTACAACCCTAAAGCACATCCCGACACACTGAGACCAGATCTCACGGCTCAAAGTATAAGGTGATTGTAGTCTTTATGTTGATCAACTAGCTCATTTCAAGTGTTTGTGAACTAGTGTTTCGTAGATCGTTCACTACGTTCATTCAATTGTATCTGAGCAAAGACAAAATAGTTCAGTATGTACATTATGTATGTATTTTCTGTCTACATTTTTATTCATTTATTTAAATTGCTACTGATTAACTTTAATGTTATAATTTTTTTTTACATCGACGCTTAAAAGTCAAACGTGACTAAGCGACAATAACCGCTTTGTACATAAATGATAGGCAATAACCATATTCGATGCGCAAAAAATATATATTTCTAGGTCTATTAAAATCATTTCAATCCTACAGCTAGATTCGTTAAATTTTTTTCCAGGTATTTCAACTTTAAATTAGTCTACTGTAAAGTTCACGCATTGTCGCTTAGTCACGTTTGCCTTTCAAGCGTTTATGTGTAAACAAGAAAACGTAATACATAAAATTAATTGAAATCTGATACTGCGTAAAACTAGTAATAATTGAAGTACTATAATTAGTTTTGCTTGTTGACTTACCGGATCTCTGTAAGCATGTTATTACTAAGATGAAGTCTAAGATGCGGTGTGCGATTACATATTGTATGGTGTAGGTTCTGGCGCGGCATGTACTGCCGCCACGAAAGTGGAGTGCATCCACGTGAGCCTCTCGGCGACCTCCTGCCGGCCTCCGTGGAACACTGTTCGGCCCTTGATCACCACATCAACTATCTTGCTAAGGTATTGTATATATAGCGCTACATTGGTGCACGTCCTCACTAGACGGTTACCTGAGACTTAAAATTAAACTCTTAAGTATATTTGTCTTAAGTCTTCTTCTTTCTGGTCGTTCCCTCAATGCTGAGGATCGTGACTGTATGTCAATCTTCTCCACTCGGTCCTGTTCTACGCCATATGCACCGCTCCCTGTATCTAGCCTCCAGTCACCTCCTAGAGTTGGTCCACCCATCTAGCTGGCGCTCTTTCTCTAGCGCGCTTCCCTTCCATTTGTCCGAGAATGATGAGTTTATCCAGGCTGTGCAATGGGGATCGCATTATGTGCCCAAAGAAACTCCGGATCATTTCCTGGCACGTAGTCAGCAGGCGCTTGGTGACCTTCAGCTCTTCGATGATGAAGATATTGGTTCTCATAGCTGTCCAAAGTCTTAAGTCTTAATATTAATTAAAAGAAAAATATACTGCTTCATGGCAAATGATCGTACTCATACCTGAGACATAAAATTAAAGTCTTAAGTATATTGCCTTAAGTCTTAATATTCATTAAAAGGAAAATATGCTGCTTCATTGCAGATGATGGTACTCATACCTGAGACTTAAAATTAAAGGCTTAAGTATATTGTGTTAAGTTTTAATATTCATTAAAAGGAAAATATGCTGCTTCATTGCAGATGATGGTACTCATACCTGAGACTTAAAATTAAAGTCTTAAGTATATCGTGTTAAGTCTTAATATTCATTAAAAGGAAAATATGCTGCTTCATTGCAGATGATGGTACTCATACCTGAGACTTAAAATTAAAGGCTTAAGTATATTGTGTTAAGTTTTATTATTCATTAAAAGGAAAATATGCTGCTTCATTGCAGATGATGGTACTCATACCTGAGACTTAAAATTAAAGGCTTAAGTATATTGTGTTAAGTTTTATTATTCATTAAAAGGAAAATATGCTGCTTCATTGCAGATGATGGTACTCATACCTGAGACTTAAAATTAAAGTCTTAAGTATATCGTGTTAAGTCTTAATATTCATTAAAAGGAAAATATACTGCTTCATGGCAAATGATGGTACTCCGCCGCGCGGGTCTCACAGTAGGTTCCGCTACAACAAGAGCCTCGAGCTGTTCCACTCTCGTTCTAGGTTCAAGGTTGAAGTTTGTTGTTGTTGAACAACGAAACTCATGCTTGTTTGGCGGCAGAAATAGGAAGACACAGGTAGGTACCACCACCCTGCTTATTTCTGCCGTGAAGCAGTAGTGTGTTTCGGTTTGAAGGGTGGGGCAGCTGTTGTAAATATACTTGAGACCTTAGAACTTATATCTTAAGGTGGGTGGCCCATTAACGTTGTAGATGTCTATGGGCTCCAGTAACCACTTAACACCAGGTGGGCTGTGAGCTCGTCCAACCGTCTAAGCAATAAATAAGAATATATTATGATACATATGAGTTTGTGTGATAAAATAATTGAAATAAACATGATTTATAAATAAGCGTTATTTATAGTGCTTTGCAGTATATCACTTGTTGGGCAGTTTATCACAAGTTTTTTTTTTTTTTCAGAGAATTAATACGTTCAAAAATCTCCTGTCAAGACGTAAAGACGACAATAGCAAAGATAACGCGATCGTGAACTATCGAAACGGGAACGTGAACTCCGTCGCTATAGAAGCGAAAACAGAAGAATTGCAGATCGATAATAAGTTTGTACAACATTTTGATATATAATTATATATATCGACGCTTGAAAGGCAAACGTGACTAAGCGACAAAAACTGCTTTGTACCTAAATGATAGGCAATAACCATATTCGATGCGCAAAAAATATATATTTCTAGGTCTATTAAAATCATTTCAATCCTACAGCTACTAGCTAGATTCTACTACAGCTAGATTCGTTAAAATAAATTTTGTTTTCAGGTATTTCAACTTTAAATTAGTCTACTGTAAAATTCACACATTGTCGCTTAGTCACGTTTGCCTTTCAAGCGTCGATATGNAACCATATTCGATGCGCAAAAAATATATATTTCTAGGTCTATTAAAATCATTTCAATCCTACAGCTACTAGCTAGATTCTACTACAGCTAGATTCGTTAAAATAAATTTTGTTTTCAGGTATTTCAACTTTAAATTAGTCTACTGTAAAATTCACACATTGTCGCTTAGTCACGTTTGCCTTTCAAGCGTCGATATATATATATATTTTTATTGCTTAGATGTGTGGACGAGCTCACAGCCCACCTGGTGTTAAGTGGTTACTGGAGCCCATATACATCTAAAACGTAAATGCGCCACACACCTTGAGATATAGTTCTAAGGTCTCAGTATAGTAACAACGGCTGCCCCACCCTTCAAACCGAAACGCATTACTGCTTCACGGCAGAAATAGGCGGGGCGGTGGTACCTACCCGTGCGGACTCACAAGAGGTCCTACCACCAGTAAAAATTATATACTAAGCTAGTACAATAATTAAAGTCCTTAGTTTGAAAATAAACCGTAAAGTATCCGAAACGTTGAAAATAATACAATGATAATAAAAAACGCGAGATTAAACCTTCAATTAAAGAAACTTTATTACATATATTATTTAGTATTTTACCAGTTCAGTAGTATTTTTAGTCGAAAACAAAGTTGACTGTTTTTTTTTTTATATTTCTCAGTTTATGTAGACCGTTGAAGAAACATAGATCTAATTTAATTTCCGCATTATAATAATTTCCAGGTTCATTTACGAGTCCGGTGGCTCGTTATCTGAAATGGAGTCTGCGAATCACGACCATCCGCTGAAGGAGACCAGCGCGAATTCGCAGTCAACGAAGCCCAAAAAAATTCCATTAATAACTGAGGTATGTACGAAGGAAATATAATTTTTTTTAATGAATTTAGTCGCAGTTGGTCAGTCGTCAATTAATTGGTGGTGGGACCTCTTGAGTCCGCTGAGATGGTTGGACGAGCTCAAAGCCCACCTGGTGTCAAGTGGTCACTGGATCCCATAGACATCTACAACGTAAATGCGCCACCCACCTTGAGATATAAGTTCTAAAGTCTCAAGTATAGTTACAACGGCTGCCCCACCCTTCAAACCGAAACGCATTACTGCTTCACGGCAGAAATAAGTAGGGCGGTGGTACTTACCCGCGCGGACGCACAAGAGGTCCTACCAGCAGTAATTACGCAAATCATAATTTTGCGGGTTTGATTTTTATTACACGACGTTATTCCTTGATCGTGGAAGTCAATCGTGAACATTTGTCAAGTACGTATTTCATTAGAAAAATTGGTACCCGCCTGCGGGATTCGAACACCGGTGCATCGCAACATACGAATGCACCGGACATCTTATCCTTTAGACCACGACGACGACTTCGAAGTTTGAACTAGTCAACGTGTTCTAGAAACTAGACGCCTCGCTGCCGACGAGTCTGGCGCTGCTCGAGAAGGAAGTGAACACCGTCGCGCTGGACTGGAAGAGCGTGAAGAACGTCACCGAGTGCAGCTGCTCCACGCCCCTGGACCACTACAGTAGGAAGGTACGTTTTGTGACGTCATTTGTAAGTTACTTTGCTTTTCTATTCGTTTGTCCTGGCACACACGGTAGGCAGCGGCTTGGCTCTGCCCCTGGCATTGCTGAAGTCTATGGGCGACGGTAACCACTCACCATCAGGTGGGCCGTGTGCTCGTCTGCCTACAAGGGCAATAAAAAAAATACACACGGGCGTTCATTCCAATAACAATGTAAGTACAGGATATTAAGTTCGTCGTCCGTGAACATTTTTGAATTACGCGTTAAAAGTTTTTTACGGACGACCTGATATTAGGTGACTCAATATATACAGTTATAGTGTACACGTCTCGTCTGTGCCTCTGAAATTGCTGACGTCCATGAGCAACGGTGACCACTTACTATGAAGTCGGCCGTAGGTTCGTCTATCTACACAGGCAATAAAAACAGATTTTTAGTATCGGAATAGTAATTATAGTTTCGAAACCAAAAACTTCTAACTATAATTATTTGACTATTTCATTTGCAGCAATCAATGAAACTACTAAACGCTAATGCTTCTGCCACGATACATCCTATGCATACCTAGATTTTATCTTTTTGTATCACGACGCAGTTGACTGCCCCAACGCGACCACCGAGCGTAGCGTATAAAATATGAAGCATACCCAAGCCTTAGTTGACAGCCCACTGAGTTTCTCGCCGGATCTTCTCAGTGAGTCGCGTTTCCGATCCGGTGGTAGATTACGCGAAGCACTGCTCTTACTTGGGCCAGTGTTAGCAACACTCCCCGGTTTGAGTCCCGTGAGCTCACCTACATGTCAACGAGAAGCTGAAATAGCCTTTCAAGGCTATGCTGATAGTTTTTTTTTTTATTGCTTAAAATTGTGGACAAGCTCACAGGCCATCTGGTGTTAAGTGGTTACTGGAGCCCATAGACATCTACAACGGAAATGCGCCATCCACCTTGAGATGCAAGTTCTAAGGTCTCAGTATAGTTACAACGTCTACCCCATCCTTCAATGATAGCGGTCAAAAAAAACCTTAGTTGTGCACGTGTCGTGATGGAGCACATAACAATGAGAGCGCGGGCGGTGTGTGTGCAGCACCACTGCTGGGGCTGCGGGCGCTGTGTGTGCACGCGGTGCGTGCGCGGCCGCTCCCCCCTCCCCGCGCTGGCGAGCGCGCGCCCCGCCCCGCTGTGCGCCGCCTGCTCGCCCACCTCGCCGCCACCCGCGCCGCCCCCGCACACAAGTAACTATACAACTTAATATTAATACGTGAAGTACCCCTTTTCAGGAAAATTGCGCGGACGAAGGAGTATGAAATTGCCCACACTTATAGAAAATATGGAGAAGGAGTGCAGAATGTTAATATTTTTTTTAAATTACGCATAAAAAATACCTTAAATCAATAAAAAAATACATTACACACACTACCATATATTTGACATACAACACGCATGCATACTATTGGTTTATTGTCAAACTTTCCTTATTGCACATAATGTGTGGTCAAATCACAGACCTTAGGTTTCATACTTCAGTGGGTCAAATTGAGAATAGATTAAATATTGTTTGTCTTTTAAAAGTGTAGCCTTAGCTAAATCTGTGTTCATAAAAGTATAATAGTCTTTGACAATATAATCATAATAATGTTCAAACTTTTAATTCTAATTAATTATAGTAGAATTTCGACTACTGCGGGACCACTAATAATAATTAATTAACGTGATAATAACTAAATAATTAATTAACGTGAAGCCAAAACCTTGTAACCCTTTTTACGAAAATTGCGCGGACGGAGGAGTATGAAACTTCCCACACTTATAGAGAATATAGAGAGGGAGTGTGGAATGCTTTTTTTAAATTATGCCTAAAAATAGATTAAATTAATGAAAGAAACATGACACACACTACCATGTATTTGACACACGCATTATACTCTTCGTTTATTGTCAAACTTTTGTTATTGCTAGTCTATGGTCAAATTGAGAATAGATTAATATTGTTTGTCTTTAATATTATTTGTCTATAATCTAGTCTTGGCGAAATCTGCGATTATAGAAAAGTAAAATAATAGTCTTTGTCAATAGCACCATAATAATGTTAGAACTTATAATTTCCATTAATTATAGTCGAATTTTTACTACCGAGCGACCACTAGTACAATTTGTTTGTCTTCCCACAAGCTTTCCACTGAATCGATCTGTGATCCAATTATCACCAAAATATATAACAACAATTTTATTTTGTCATCTTTGATAATTTTTTAATTACCATGTTCTAGTTTAACTGCTTAGGGGACCGAACGAGCTCTTAACACCTGTTGCTGAGTGGTTACCAGAACCCATAAAAATCACCACGTGAATGACGCCTGCTACCTTGAGATTTGAGGTCTATGTCTCAAAAATTTATATATATTTTTTTGCTGATTTCAAATTTATTACCCGATGTTATTTCTTCATCGTGGTAGTCATTCGTGAACACGTGTTAAATAAGTGTCTCATTGAAAAAATGGGTTCTGCCTGCGGAATTTGAACACCCGGCGTCTTTTTTCTAAGACAGGACGACGACTTCTGATGACAACACCAATTCAATGATATGGCAACATTGAATTAGTCTCATGATGAGTCTTGCTCACTCACTCATCGAGTATAAACGCGTCAACGATTCCCCTTCCTCTCTAGGAGATATAAGTTTGAGATCTCAACTACTTTGAAATGACTGTCTGTTTATGTACAGGCAGACTAACATTTGAAAGCGTGATTGTTAAAAATGAATTCATTTTGATGACGTCAAACTTTTTATTTTGTTCCAGATATAAATTGAAGGTCTCTGTCTGATGGTACAGTAGAATGAAATACACTGAAGATATTATTTTTTGCATTTAATACACGTTTTCTATTTATTAGTATGAAATAATTTCTATCACAAAATATAATTGATGTTGCAAATTAAAATAGACAGTATGATGAGTAGTTTACAGATGTCGTGTTTGTTAATGAAGAAAGTTTTGTAATATGTGTTTGAAGACACATTTAATATTGTTTAATTAATCTATGTCGGCGGACATTGTGCACTCGTCCCGTTGCGACGAATTGTTCTATCTCACTCTTAATGTTAGCGTAAGAAGAAGATGTCCGGTCCGTCAAGCTTCTGTTTAATACAATATGTACGTGCAGACGTTAACGATGTGCTTCTAAAATTTAAAGAATAGACCTATCGTATAATATCCGTCTGAGCAAAGCAAAAGCGTCCCAAAAGTTTTTCTAGATTCAAAAGAGTATATAACTAAATAACTTCTGGTATTTATGACACACTTGAACATTGATGTCATTATTCAATTAATTACGCTCTCTGTTTAGACTGAAATTATAATATAACGCATAAGAACTTATTAAAACAGCTTTTAATTTAGCTTCCCTTGATTGTCTGCATTTAAATTTATATTTTTTTCGCTCTAGAGAAGTTAGTCAATTAGCAGCTAAATAATAAAGTAAATAATTAATAATATGATGTGTCACGTAAAGCTAATAGCTAATTCAGAATTCTATTCCGCTCCTATCTATATATTCTTGTGTAAATTATGTACAAATTACAGTAAGTTTATTTTGTGTATATCAGATAAAATGTTTGAATATTGGCTAAGAAATATAGTATGTTAATCCGTAGGCGATTCTTTAGTGTTGCACACCATTTTATTTTATTTTATTACGAAACGAATGCATTATGAATTGTCATAACTTGAAACGACGGATTTTGTAAGTTTTACCACCACTCAAGCCGGACGGACCATACACTGACTGTCCGGATATTCATAAGGATATCATATGTATATACACGAGCTTACGATAGGCAGCGGCTTTGCTCTGCCCCTGATATTGCTGAAGTCCATGGGCAACGGTTACCACTCAACATCAGGTGGACCGTATGCTCGTCTTCCTACAAGGGCAATAAAAAAACCTGTGGCTGTTGTTACCCTATTCCTTAGCTTTTCCATAGTACTACACTGTTGGTGCTCCTTTTCATGGCAGTTGAAGCATTTATACATTTTGTCTGAAGATTTTGTTATTGTAATTATGAGTGAACTCACGACCGACCATCCTTAACATTGAATGCCGCAACTCACTTTGAAACACGAGATCGAAGTTAAGGACTCCGGTGTAATCGCTTAACGCCAGGTGGCTCTTGAGCTCGATCTTTGAGCAATAAGAAAACACAAAAAAGCAGCTGCGTAGTAGGTAAGACTCATGGCTTAACTGGTCCATGATCGTCGGCAACCCATCAGGTGAATCCGTTTATTATTGTAATCCGAGCATTATTATCGGTATTATTACCGGCGTTCGCACCGTGGTACGTGAGGAATGTCGAATGTCACATACTACTGATGTAGGTATCAGAGCTGGCTGCCTCCTTTAAGAGTGATTTAAATCATCCAGCGAAGCCGGGCATGGTTGATCTCGGTATGTTATAGATAAGCTAGATGTGTTAAAACACTGACTCTCCTTCAGAATATCTATAATTTTCCCATTTCCCATTTTTGCTGAGGTCATTTCTGTGCAATACGGAGTTAAATGCCATACTGGGGGTCGCTTGTGTCTGGATAAAATCACATTCCCTTTTTGAAAAATGTGTATTTTTCCGTTTAAGTTAGCGAGTACCGCTTCGGGTGTTAAAGACCATGCTACCCGTATTAGCTTTCCAAATCTATTTGTGTTATATCTTAGTTAATTAATTATCTTACTTAAGTTGGCTTTAAAACAGGTACAACAGGAGTACCCCACTCTGAGTATTCCATTGGTTCAATCCGTTTACTTTTGACTAATCTTTCAATTTCTTGTTTAACTTTGTCCTTTAATGCAAATGGAACAGTTCTTACTGGCATGAATATCGGTTTTGCACTTGGGATCAATAGACAAATGGATTGGCTCACCCTTATAATTTCCTATACCCGGTTTAAATAATATAGTATTCCTTTTTTGTACTCTTTATAATTTTTTTTTTAATTTTTTCACATTTTTTTTTGTCAAACTCAAATCACAAATCTGGGTGTCCATAATTGTCGGTAGTAGATTCATTCGCGAAGCAGCTGCTCTTGAGTTGTTAGGTCTCGCTCGGGCAGCTGTTAGCAAATCCCATCCTTCTTGGCTGAGTCTTTGCTCGCCCACCTGTCTTGGTGAAACTGAAAAGGCCTCCGGGCCACCAGTAATCCTTCAACCCAAAAAAAACCACACTCACTAAAGAACTTCTCCCGGAGTGAACATTGTGCTTTTAAATGTCCCTTCTTTCCGCAGGAAAAACATGAGCCACCTTGTATGTTCATAGGTATATGTAATTATAAATCTTGTTAAACTGATGAAAAAATGCATGAAAAAAATGCCGGCGTTTTAGGGATCGAGGGATCTTTCAACTTAGTTTCGATACCAAAAAGTAATTTTGTACGACTCGCGAATGATCAGAAATAGATATCGGTGACGCCTGCGATATTCATTATACCATATTCATTATAAAGATCATTGTCCACATCTCAACTAATGACGGACATAGAGGTTCAATTGTCGGAATAATTACGGAGGATTTTGTAAGCACGTACGGTTTTTTGTAACTCATCTACCGATTTCGATAATTTCTATAATAGTTGTCGATTTCGCCTTTTTTCTTTCTTCCACCGATGGCGTCGACGGCGCTGTGTGTATTTTTTTCTTCAAACCCTGGGCGGTGGTGCTTGATTAAGACGTCAAGCTATTACTACTCCTACTCGATGATGATCGAGTTCGCTGCTCCCATGAATGCGATTCACGGTTGTGCAATTTTGTATTCGTCCCGCCACTGATTACCCCTGGGTCAGTTTCATCATCGGACATCATAATTAACGCTCACTATTATACATATCTTAAAAGAATAAAACGCCTAAAGAACAGCACTATGAGGGTAGAAAAATAATAAAATTAAACTATTGATAAACATGTAAAATATTATTGATTAAAGAAATGAGAATAAATTAGGGTAGAAAGAAAAAATGTTGAATCGAATTCGATCAACAAATAATATTTTTAGAAACGAATAATATTACCGTTATGTATATTATGTGCACATACATAGCATTTTCTTGAAAACCACTGAATTTAAAAGAAGTATTTCTCTTAGCACACGTGAACTGCGCGGGAAAAGTAACGCCAAAGACAAACAGGCGCGGTGTCTCAGCCGCCGCGCTCACCTGGTAAAGTGTAAGGGAGTGTGCGAAAGAAACAGAGTTAGCTTTAAAATTAGATTCTACCGTTTTCTATTTAAAAAATTTATCTTTAAAAAAAAAGTTCTTCGTCGTCATCTGCAATCTTACTTAAATACAAAAATTGTTAGCATAAAAATTGTTGTTTTTTTAATTATTTAATAATTGAATAAAATCTTTTGTTTGCTGGATGCCATTATATCATTGGTACAGTCGTTAAGCTGGGATGCCAGAGAGCATTCGTCGTGATTCTTAACACTTATATTAATGCATCGATCCAAATTCTTCTCCAATTTCTTCATCAATTTCGTTTCTTTTGCATGGAATTTGCTCACTAATGCCATGAGATTATCTGGAATGTTATATAAACTTATTGACGTATTTTTCTTGCCGTAGACAGGAGGACAATTTCACATCCCAACGGTCTGTGTCAATTTGAATTCTAACGGCAACCACCTAGACTCTAAGCGCGTTAAAAAAAACAGAAAAGTGGCAATAAATAAATACTTCGCGGCACAAGACAATTTTAGAGTGACTTTGTTTTTATTATGAAATTATAGCGTTGTTAGACATTATGCACTTCACGGTTTTCCGTAATCCCTTGTCATATTCGTCAAAGTGTAATATCATTATTAAAGCTAGTTTGGTTTCTTTGGTCTAACGGATGAATGAACATTTCTGTTAGAGTACTTGCCAACGATTAAATCGCAACATTATCACCTGAGAAAAGGTCTATTGGGTGGTTGGTTTATAATTGGTAAGGTTAGACTAGTTTCTTAAAGCTTCGAAAACCTGAACTATAGGAGAATGTGCTGTGCAAACCACATTTGCTTCTACGATCGTAGTGATGGCAGTTGTCATTTACTTAATGGGCTATTGATGCGGTCTCAAATTAATTTGGTTTTAATTTTATATGCTTCGGTATCTCTCAGTATGTAGCTCAAGAGATACCAATGAATTTTACAACATATACTTTTTAGGTGCTCATGAAATCACTAACAGTGATAAGATTTGTAAGGCAAAACAATGCAATTAGCCTCACCATAACAGCATATAGGCTTAATTCAGTAGACGCAGGAACGGAGGATATCCAAAAGGAGAATTCCAAATTCGTTTTACTGTATAATTTCGTATATTTTCGATTTTTTACAATAAAGGTGTATTATTATGTATACCCTCGATTTTACAAAAAGAGGCTGTTAGTTCGTTACGTTCGAAAGTTATGAATAATGTGAATGAAGTCAATGAAGAGAAGTAAATGACAGAATGACGTTTTTGCTGTCAATGTGGTTTGACGTATGACGTTTATTGAATTTGTAGATGGCGCTTTCGTCGATGGCAACCATCATTAGCCAAAGGTGTTTTATCCAGAACTACAATATGTATTGTTTCTGAATACAGTATAATAATAATAAAATTTATTCGATATACGCTTATTTCTAATCTGTGTATTTGATATCACGAAATCATATCAACTATTTTTACCTTTATCGACTTTCCCGTTTTGAATTACACCGTTCTTTTTGAGTACACAAGCAATCAGACACTCCCCATGAATCGGCGATTCTCGCTTCGGAGAAATTCGTTTGATCGGCCTCTTATCGTTGTTCTGTACTTCCTTCAAACATTCCGTCATGTTGCGTTTGAAATCTAGGACGTGTGTCGACATTTCATCTGGTATAGAGCGATAAGACCAGTCTGGCTCACGGTTATTGCCTTCATTTGCAAATAAAAAACATGTTATTATAAATAGCATATACTTGCTAAACCAAAAATCAATAACCTGAATAAATGAATAACCTGAGTATTAAAATCGTTATTTTTTGTGGATTTCACATAAAGCATTCTATTGATATATCTTCGGGCTCATTCAGGATGCACCAGAATGCGACCCCAGCTTTCGAGCTACTGTTCATTGAAAGTCACTACTTAACTACTCACCGAATTGTCTTTACTCCTTTTCCTTATCTTTAGCACTCCACTGTAACTTATGTAAACTTGTGAGGGTTGCCTAGTGAGAACCACGTCCTACGCATTTCTGCCACGAACGGATCGCGCATTCCGGTAACGGGTGTCATAGCCGTCATACAATTGATATTTTGATTTCATGACGGTGAGCGTTGGCATTCAAGTGATAATATTTATGGGCATCAGTAAGCACTGAGTATAATAAAGATCGTATATCAGTCAAATCTAAGCTAACTATGATAAAGAACGCTTGTATTAATCGTACGAGTTTCTTCGAATGTCGACGAGTTTCATATTATGCTTAGCCTGTAACATCAGCCCGCTGTGTTTATCGCAGGGTCGCGGTGTGTTCATTGGCGCGTTGCTCAGGATTCGACGAGCAACGCGCCGCCCTCGTCGCGGTCATTGGAGAGGACCTCACGCTGCCGCGCATCGTGGCTACGATGCTCGGCAGCGAGGCGTCCAAGGCAATGCTCGACCTCCTTCTGCGAGTCCACCATCTCGCAGAAGGAGACTGCGGAGCGAGAGAGGGAGAGCTCTGCCCATTCCGCATCGATCCGTCGCCGTCGAGCCGGGGGCCGGAGGCGGGAATACGCCCGTACGTCCCGGCCCCTGTAGGTAGCGGCCTCCCCCCGGTGAAGGTCAAGGGGCGACCTGAGGGGGTAGAGGCCGCGCGGCGCGCTGCCAGCACTCTAGCGCGCTGCCGTGGAGTAATAGAGCGACCGGTCGACGGTGTATCGCGTCCCGACCCGGCAGGCTGGTTCTGGTCCAGCGGGGTATTCCGGGACACCAGCGGCACCGTCTGGGCGGCCTGCCGTACCGAGACGGCCGACGTTTCAGAGCCTTCGATTCGCTTCGAAGGCTCCATCGGCTGGGCGTCCTTGGGGTGAGCCGCGCCGTCTGGTTGTGGTGTTGACCGTGGTAACCTCCCTACCTCATCCGGGTTCTGACCTCGGAGGGGATCGGACGTCGGGTGTAAAAGTGCAAGGGAGTCGTTTAGTGGGTGGGCCCTAAAATCCTTGGGCCCGCGGTCTGCTCACAACACCATGCAGATCTTTGAGTCTCACATACCCCGCGCGCCCCTTTTGCGCGGGAACCTCGTAGGAGGTTTGGCCCCGTACCCGAAAAAAAAAAAAGGGTCGCGGTGTGGTAGTTAATACGTGAAATAGCTGTCTTAGCTGTAACGCCTTTTTCCGAGATATTCGGACAATTTTTAGCAAATACCCCTCCTCTCAGTTGGTCGGTAATATTGAAACTGTGAGCCACTTAGGCAAATAGCAATCGTTCCATCCCCAAACAAAAGACAGCAAATACTACTTTTCTATGATCTGTTATAGAATTAATATTAATTATTGTTAATATGATAAATACGTGAAACCAATGATTATTACCATTTCTGCGATTCTCCAACTTCAAGTTTCTCGTAATGACGGTATCTTTATCGATTTTTACTTTATTTATAGTTTTTATTCCCACCACATGATCATTTTCTGCTCCATTTTTTTTTCCAACAAAATCTCCATTTACTGCCAATTGTATGGTGAACAATAAAATAAAAAAGATTGTTTGGGACGCCATCGTGCTGAAGGTTTGTGAAGAAATTACTTTAAAACAGGTAAACGCTTTTTGATAAGAGCAGTTAACAGTAATTTAAATTGGAGCTATGGGTAATTGGCTATTAAATTGGTCCTCCGAGCTCACGTCACTATACGTCTGAATAAAAGTAGCGTAATTTGTTCAAATCTTAAGAAAAGTTACCAACGAGAACACATAATTTTGTATGTGAAATATAATTTTAAGGTGTAATCAAAGTCATAAGCCTATAGTTGCCACATTTCTTTATTGATAACTTTTTCTGAAGTGCTATACCTACACATTATGGAGTGTGTCCAGTCCTGTTTTGTCTCTCAGATGTGTTTGCAGATAACATGCATAATATGAACTCCAAACTTGCTTTAAAGATCTTGTTGGAATAGCGCCAGCTCTCACAGTCTTACACCCATTGACATATCGATTGCCCGCAAGTATACTGTATTAACTCTAAAAACTTACTTTATCAGGAGAGGCGATTAAAGTTATTTAATTGCTTTGCCTATAAATATTATGTATTTACAAATGATAATGACTACTGTTTTTGAATTTTTAGTATGCAGAAGTGTATCCTCTGTAATTATCTATAACTATCATGCTCTATTTATCATAATTTCTAAAGTAATTTATACTTTTTTGAATGAGGGTACTACTTGCGACTGTATTCTTTTGAACATTGGTTTTAAGTTAAAAAAGAAAATAGTATCTATATATTTTTAAATAAAATAAAAGGGCTAAAAAAAAAAAATGGTTTCTCATCCATTTATTAGAGGAAGATGTCAACAACCGTTTATAAAAATCTGATAATGAAGAATCAAAGGATAACTAAACATTTCGCAATAGATTACAATTAGAGACAAATTGATGAAGTGAACGTGTTTGTACCAAAATCAACAATTAATCAAAAACTTAAAATTTATAACTGAAAATTTAACTTAATTTTTTTGTATAAAACAATCAAATTGGTCAATCTCTCAAGTGTCAGAACGCTACTTCGACAAAGCGGCGCGAGACGAAAACCCTCTTATCGTGACTGCCGCTAATTACTTATCCGACCGCGACGGGTCAACACAAAACCGCCGTTGCCTGAAACATGACGTCTTGTAAAATCCCCCGGATTCACTCTCACTGCCTTTAGGCCTCTCAAGCACCGATCATCATCCTCGTCGAACTCTTCGATTCGACCGGCGAACTAACCCATAAACACAGCCCACTGAGTTTCTCGCTGGATCTTCTCAGTGGGTCGCGGCTCTTATCCGGTGGTAGATTCTACGAAGCACAGCTCTTGTTAGGGCTAGTGTTGGCAAATTCTCTCAGATTGAGCCCGTGAGTTCACCTACCCATCCGGGCGTAGCTGGAATAGCCCCTTAGGCTACCAGCGAATAGGAGGGGAAAAAAAATCAATGTCTCGCTTGAAAAAAAAGTCACATTTTTTTACAATAATAACGAATTAATGAAATCGTAAACAATAATTAAAATAATACTTCGAAGATCTTAGAAAAACACCAAAATTATAAATCTTGATAAAAATCTTCAATATTTGGGAATAATGTTTTTTCAACCAATTCAAACAGTTCCAGTTTCCTTTTTTTCATAATTTTAATCTCTGTATAGGCTGCAGGTAAATAAATTCAGTGACATCAAGTTGTCGCCCTCATTTTTGGTATGCCCCTTGATTAAGAATTCGTGTGTAATAGAATTAATCTTTTCACTTCCATTTATGTACTGTCAAGATATAGATTGAAATCATATAAAGGTTTTTCTGCTGCCAAAATTCATTGCATCGAAAACATTTTACTCCTTTCGTGCATCCTGGTGATCAGTATCTCCACAGTTATAGCATCGTTTAGTATGCATTGGTTTCCCTTTTTTAGATGTAGATGGTGCATCTATAAGTTTATGTGAATAAGAGACTGATGTCTTCCTTTTTATTTCAGCGTACAGGTCTAATTTCTTCCTAAAGTCTTACATATTAGTAGCTCCGTACAATATCGACTTATTATTTTCTGTATCTCTGATACCATCAATAATATACTCTATTAATGACTCGTTATCAATTGAACTCAACATTGCTATTCCTTTCATGTTTAAAAAGTACTGTTGTAATGTTTCACCATTTGTCATCATCTTGCGCGCAGCGAGCCGTTTGTGAATTGCGGCACTATTCAATTTTATTCTGAACTCTTCAATTAACTCTTCCTTTAAAGAATTCCAATTTTGTACCTCACAGGTACGTAAAAATAATTTGGCAGTGCCAGTCAATAATCTTTTCGCGTAAATAAATTTTTCTATATCGCCCTATTGCATGAGCGAAGCATTGTCTTCCAAGTCTTTTATCCATGTTGTCACAGCATAGTTATCATCTCCACTCAACCGCGTCATAGATCGTTCTAAATCATTAAATGCGATTTTCGGAACGGAATCGATTGGGTCTTCTTCATCTCTTAACTTCTTTGGTGGCATCTTAGTCGTTAAGATAAGTCGTCAGTCGTAAAAGGTGAAAGAAAAAGAAAACTTCACGTAAAATGAATGTTCCGTAACACAAATACGTGTTAATTCGTGGTGATTTCGGAACGCATCTGACGTCTATAAAGTCTATGAAGTTCTATAAACTGTTTCGTAATGTTGGTCACACGTAGCTAGCTTCACTTTTCATATTCTCTATGATAATTTCATGTTAGGTTATGAGAATTTTCTTTGTCTTCAACACTTTTGAAAATAAAGCTTACTCACTTCATATCCCGGACGAGCCCCCAAAAATTATGTGGGATGGCGTAGTAGAATAAAGCAATACTTCCTCAACTGTTTTATAATTAATTTTATTTCTCGTCTTAACAACGGAACGTCTTACCTCTGACACCTTCTTTTGACAACCAACTGACTATGACATAATACCTAGGCGGCACCGAAAATTTCAGGAATTAACGAAGTGACACAACATTACTATTAAAAATGTATTTATTGCTTTTCGAAGTATTCTCCGCGAAATTTAACACATTTTTCCATACGATGGAACCAATCATTGAAGCAACCATTCCATTCGGAATTTGGGGTCTCCAAAATGGCCGTTTTGTAGGCGTCCACAGCTTCTTCTTCAGGTGATGAAAATCTCTGTCCACGCAATTTATTCTTTATCTTAGGGAAAGTATAGAAATCATTAGGGCTTAAGTCGGGGCTGTACGGCGGATGGTCTAATAATTCTATGTTTTCTTGCTCTAAAAACTCTTTTGTTCTGTGCGCGGTGTGAGAACTCGCATTGTCGTGATGGAGGATGATGCGGCGGTTGTAGTTCTCTTTACGGAGTTTAGAAACGACCTGTGGCAAACAAATGCTAGCATACCATTCTGCATTAACCGTTCTTTATCCCTCAAGAGGAATAGTCGTAACATGGCCGGTTTTGGAGACAAACGTGGCCACCATTTTTTTTGCAGCACTCCGTGAACGAACAATTTTTATTGGCTTTAACTCATTTTCGAACACCCAAACTCGTGACTGGTTTTTTGTTTCGGGTTCGTACGCGTATATCCAGGATTCGTCACCTGATACAATGTTGTATACAGCATTTGAGGATCCTGCGTGGAATCTTTCGAGAGTTCTGACGCACCAAGTCACGCGAGCCGCTTTTTGCTCTTCACAGAGCGAATGCGGTATCCATCGGGAAAACAACTTTTTTACACCTAATTGTTCATGCAAGATTATTTGTAGTTGACTCATGCCAATGTCTAAAGTTGCCTGAATTTCGCGGTATGTCACATGTCGATCTTCCTCAATCAGCTTACGCACAGCATCAACGTTTTCTTGGGTGACTGCAGTTTTTGGACGACCTTGACGGGGATTATCACTGAGCTTGACACGTCCACGTTGAAACTCAGCAAACCAGCGATAAATTGTGGTTTTGGATGGGNCGTTTTCTTGGGTGACTGCAGTTTTTGGACGACCTTGACG